AAAAAAAAAAAAAAAAAAAAAAAAGAAAAAAATAAGGAAACAAAAACAAAAAGAAGTACAGAGTGGCGCTTTGCAGTTCTAATATGAGCTCTGAACTATAAAACGCGTTATTTGTTAATTGAACACCTAAAAGTCTATGATATTTACGATTTAAACTGCACACCTCCACGGATGCAATATCGCAGCAAATGATAGTGGAAAATCACGCGAGACATTCCACGAATTCGGGACTTAAGTGCATATGCGAAAGCAAATAAGGATCTTATATCTTTAATCGGATTGATTTCTAGTACTATATTATATTATATTATTATACATATGGTTATATACGTTACTATACATTATCGTTACATCGGCCGTTGTTCAATCATGCAACGGTCGATGATATTAGCGTATTTACGTTTAAAAATAACGGTGTCAATTTTTATTCAAGAGGGCTGGTTACGAATTATTCACCGCATACATCGTTACACGTTGATATTTAATTGGTTGGGGTGCAATCTGTTTGTTCTACCTTTCTTCTTTGTTTGTTTTTACGCGAGGAAAAAAAATTTATATATACATATATATTTACTTCCTTACATATAATAATAATAATAATAATAATAATAATATTAATAATAATAATAATAATAATAAAATAATAATAATAATAATTATATTAACGATAAATAAGGAAGATTCTGAGAGAAAGAAAACGAAAATAGGGATGAAAAGAGACAGAGATAAGGAGGGAGGGCAGTGTCACGCATGCGTCCAGACGTATGCGTTGCACCACATTTACGCTTGGATTCGAATTCGCGTGCGCGAATAGGGTGAACATTTACGAACGACGAACGGACGGACGGACGGAAGAAACGTATGTAGATGAGAGGGTTAAAGTGTGTTTCGAAGTTAGAGAATCGTGTAACTCGTATTTGGGTAACACGTCGATACAATTGGTACGTCGAGTCCGTTAGCTATTCAAAGAGCCAAACCGTTACATTGTGATCAAATGATATTACCGTCGATCTTCTCTCTTTTGCAGAAAGGGGCACTTTGCATAGTTAAGTCGGCTACTATCGAACACGCATATACCGATATATAATATAAATATATAATTTAATAATAATAATAATAATAATAATATATATATATATATAATATATATAATAACCAGAATATTAATATATTACGCAGATGATTAAGTATATTAATTAATATATTGGATATAATTTATTTTATTTTGTTTTATCGTTTTAATGATTTTATATATGTGTTATTCACTGTTTATTGTATTACCACGCAATATACCCATGCATATACACAACGGGGACACAAACATATTGAGTTTATATTATGTATTACACAAAACACACAGATATACACGCATATCTATATATTATATTATATTTACAATAACACGGTATACGCAAAACTTATTATTTATTATTATCGGATGGAACGGGGCGAATTGCCTAGAATCTAAATGCACTTGTAGACGATTATTACGACTTTTCTTTTCCGACTTTTCTTTTCTCCTCGTTTTGCTTCTCTCATCGTATCGATTTTTGTCGTGGCGCGACTACCACGAGAGCAATCTTTTGTTTTCGTGTTCGCGAATTATTTTCTTTTCTTTTTCTTCTTTTTCTTTTTCTTCTTCTTCTTCTTCTTTTTTTTTTTTTTTTATACGTAATACATTTTGTTTGTCACACCAAATATATAAGCTAGCCGAGTGTTCCGGGTGCTGGTCAAAGAGAAAATCCGCTATAGACGATCGCGTTAGGATTTTTAAAGCTTCGTAGAAAGAAAATGTTAGATATTTTCTTCGATCCTTCCGTCCTCCTTCTACGATTTCAGCTCGTTTGTCGAATGTCGTTTGTTTTTTTTTTTTTTTTCCTTTTTTCGAACGTGAACGAAATCTGGAAATCTCATCTCTTGTGTGTTTCTGTGTAATTCAATTGTGTCGCAGTTCTTAAAAATTTTCTTTTTCTTTTTTTTTTTCTTTTTCTCTTTTTTTTTCGAGTTTTTCTCAATAGATAAAATGGATGGATATAAAGGAACCGAGATTATATCAAGTTTCTGACGGACAGCGAAGTTTCCGCAGTTCTGGAATTTTATAACTCTTTCGTTAGAGGTGGAAGCGACATAAAAATTTTAGGTCGCGAAACGTTTTCACCGCGGGAAATTTTTAACCGCGATCTACTATTCAAAGTTTTATTATTCGTCGGGTGAAGAGGAATTTTTAGGGGTTTCCAAAGTTGAAGTCATTATTGAGGAAAGAATTATTGCGAAATTTAGCAATTTTAGATCCATATATATATATCTAATATTTGTAACGTACAGTTATATTTCAACCTTCTATAAATGGATTTTCCTTCGTTCGATAAAAGAAAATAGAAGAAAGTTTCACACAAAAACTAAAATAATCCTATCATCTTACTAATTTTTCAAATTAAATTTTTCTAGGTATTCTCCGTTCAAAAGAAAATCGATATCTCCAATTATATTAGATTTTTTTCAAATCTAAGATGAACAAGTCCAAATAATTTCT